ATGCAGCAAATCCTATAAATTGCATATCTTTTTCTATCTTCTTTTTCACAAATCTCTTATGGAAAATACTACTTTTGCAATTAAATTTTTCAAGGTTTTAGTTTTTAATGTAAAAAATCAACGTTTCTTGTCCCTGAAAATGATTTGTCGTCTAAAAATAATTTAGCAAAGATTATTTTCACGAAAAATTCTTTTATTCTGAAATAAATAAATAAACGAATGAAATAAATAAATAAATTACAAAATTACGAATTTTTATATTCTATTAGAATGATATGTATATTTGTTTCAATTAATTAAATCGAAAACGCAAGCGAAATATGCTGTTACGGCCGACTCTGCGGAGCTATAATCGCTATGCATGATTTTTTGCTAGACTCGGGGAAAAATATTCTTTTCTCTACAAACTGCCGAATCCGAATTTTGTAAGGAGGAGCTTAGGCGATGCGCCGTCGTGGATAGGTGCAAGTTTTTCGCATCAGTTGTTAGTTTAGTATAGCGGGGATGACAATAGCGAAGGACTATAGTGGGAGATGTCTTCTTTCGGGACATAGGTTCGACGCAACAGTTTTCTATAATTCTTAAACAGGCAAAGGGCGAGTATCTCAGGTCTCGGAGTATCATTTCTTCTGTGGTTTGCGATCGTTCACAGATATACGTGTCTTCAGTGAACAGTGAAGATAGTAACGAGTGACCAGAGTTACGAATTAACAGAAAGTTTTCCTTGCATATCATATTCAAAGTGGACTGGCACGTGCTTCATGTGAAAATCATCGACGGATTTAATCGACGGCTACTCAACCACCCCATATATTTCTTGAGAGTGCCCGGAAATCCCAGATTTGCGCGACAATATTACAACGCGACATTATGAATAATCCTGACAGGGAAAACAACCCCCCTGAACCAAAGATTGTGGACGCGGCAAACCCAACTGAGCCGTACTATAATATATTAAAAGATATAGATATATCTATGGTGTATAACTCTGAGGAAGAGGATGTAATGAGCGATATGGATATAAAAGAGGAATTAAATTCTTCTCTAACTTTAACCGCCTCTTCGGATTATGAAGAGGAATTAAATTCTTCTTCAACTTTAACCGCCTCTTCGGTTTGTGAAGAGGAACAGCAAGAGGAACCTCTCGTAATAAAACCCTCTATACCTGCCACTTCCGTAATCTTCTTGGACAATTTGGACATCATGCGGAATGTCGAGGTCGAAACAAGCGGAAATCTTGACGAGCCAAGTAAGTCATTTTCATTAAATTTTTTTATTCGGCTCGACAATTTTTGATAAATCTTGTAGCGTAGACTTTGGATTGTTGGTATGATTTCTATCAATTTCTTGAATTCTTCCTCTCTGTCATAAATTTTATATGAAAATATTGATAGATCGATCTGTAGTACTGTAGTTAGATATTTGTAAAACGAACGACAATTAATCTGACAAAAATTCTCATTATCGCATAATAATTATGTTTAATGAACGGAAAATTATCATGTCTTATGTGCATAATAATTTGATGGATTATTAAAATATATATTTTTTAAATAATATACCTTTAGAATGAATAAATCTTTAAATAAATCCTTAAATGTAATAAAATATATAATATAAAGGAATACGAAGAATAATTTCGTGAGAAATGCAAGATTTGAAATCCATGCATTATATTTTTATGCAGAAAAAAATGCTCTTTGTTTTCAAGAATTAATGTCATCGTATCGTCAAAAAATCCATGCTAAAATCTTCATAGACATTATTTTAACAGAAGAATTTTAATAAAATAATATCTTTGCCATATAACAAAATTTTTAATTATTTTGTTTTATTTTATTTTATTAATTTTTTATTTTTAGTTTGTCAATTAATTTTTTACGCTTTATTTCTATTGGTAAGAGCAGTCGCCCGGAAAGTTAAAGACGCGCGTTCGATTCCCGCTTCAGCGACTTTTCGGACCTATATTTTTCTCGCATATTATTCTTTATATGCAAGTTCGGGATTAATTTATATATGGAACTTAGTAATCTCAAAACCAAGAGATACAGTTCCGAGGAATTAATTTTTCGCGCTTGGGCTCTATTGGCCGATTTAAAAATTCATGTGTTATTATTATTAATAATATTGAGAGCCGACAAATATTTCTTATTTATTTCTATACTTATTTGAAAGAATTAATAATGAGTTTCTTCGATTATATTATATTAAAATATAATAATATTGTTTTTTTGTATAAATTATAAATGTACTATTTTTAAATTAAAGTATTATTAATTTTTATGTTCATTTGTCATCAGTTGTAATTACCAAAAAATATATTTTTTTATATGAAAATCAAAATTTCTTTGTTTTTTGTTATTATATATATTAAAAGAATTAGCAAACAAAATTCTAATTTAACTGAGTCACTTTCGAAACTATCTATGTTATTCTTCGGTTAATTCTTCAATCAAGAGAAGCATGTTTCTGAAAAGCAGCACGATGCAATTTCGCAGTAATAAAACATTTTATTCGCACGCTATAAACTCTTTGAAAAATTATTCTCTTCTATATGCTGCAATAATGTACAAAATATTATGGATAATATTTTTATTTTATATATATATATATATATATATATATATTATAAATTATTGAATATGCCTTTTTAATAGCAGATTCTCTCTGGCTTTAAAGTCAATTTGTCAGCGAAAATTCGAAAAAGATCAGTCTCTACAAATTTTCACATTTTATCATCATATAAGTATCTTTGGAACTAAACGTCAAATGAAAATCTTATTGAATTAAATTTCCGAAATTGATTGAAAAATATAATTTTGTTATTTTTTAACTTTATAAAGTTTAGTTAATAAAAAGCCCTTTTTGAATCTCAACTCGAAAAATATAGATATACTTTTACATTTTTGTTAAACAAAAATTTGCCCAAGTTAACTAGAGAATTTTTATCATTAAAAAGAATATTCAGTAATTTGGAAAAATCCTGCATAAATAAGAAATTGCAATTACAATTGCTAATTGGAAGGAATATCTTCCGTATTCTCTATTTATGCAAAACAGGGATATTTATATAGAACGAAATTTTAGAAAATATAGTACAATTTATATTGAAAATAAAAATAAAATGATTTTTCGAAGCATTCGTCGAATTACGAAATTATGAAGTATTTTAAATATGTTTGCGTAAAAAAATTCTGCATTATTTTTGTATATCAGAAGCACGTTTGTATTTAATACAAACACCTGAAATTGAAGAGAAACAGTCTAGATACAGAATCTGTTGCCCAAACACGTCGGAATGAAACAATTTCATTTGTGTCGAATTTTCCAAATAACGTGATAATTGCTCAAATGCTCAAACACACATCTTTGACTTACAATTCGATGAAAATAAAAATAGAAATCAAGGATTTTTACCAAGCGATAAAAGAATTTATTTAATTTTTATCGCTTTATTTTTAATTATTATTTATAATTTATTATTAATTTTACATTAATTTTTATTTTTAATTTCTTATTAATTTTTTAAATTTATTTATTATTTTTCTTAATTTAATAACATTTTTTAATATATTCGCGAGTTTTTGTACGTTTAATGTTAAGATTGAGCAATTAAAAATAGATTCCGATTTATTTGGTTAAAAATATTGGTGGAATATCTCTGTAGCCGGTTTAAAAAGAGCTTTTATAAAAATCCGCGAGTGAGAAGCGCGGCATTGATTTACATATCTGCGTGGCACGTGTATGCTTGTTCATAAAAAGAGGTCTTGGACATGAAAAATGCAGTATATGAAATGATTCGAGATTGAGCACGCGGTTGCAACGAACGATATATTCGCACGTGATTAAATAGCCGTATAAACAAGTTTTAATAAACGGTCAAAGATGCTTAGAGTGTCTGCATGTCGGCTTATTTGTATATAGCTTTGCATGCTCTTATTTTATAAACAATACACAGACAAGGAGCTACTTATTTTGAAATGAAACAACTAACTTTCATTTTAATATATCTATTTATTTTCATTATTTTTATACTTATATATATATTTTTCGCGCTATGAATATTATTAATGACGTAGCTGATCAATTTTTAATCTAAAAGTCAAAGGATCTTGGCGAATTGAGCGTTAAAGTCCGAATTTAATATTTAAAGAATTTATATTACAAAAGTAATATGTAAAATTACAATATACATATAAATAATGAAACATTCTATATATTTTCATTATTTATCTTGTAACTTTACATTTATTATTTATGTAATTATACATGTTTTTATATAATATATTGCATATCTTTTTACGAGAAACGATGATAATTTTGAGAAGCTTCGTGCATCTTAAATATCATTCCTCTCTTTTACATTGTTCCTTTTTTATTTTTATCATCAAAAATCAATTATTATTTATGTAATTTTACATATTTTTGTGTAACATATTACATATTTCTTACAGTATACGCACGCTCGATGTTTTCAATTGTGTAATGTTTATGAATCTTGTGTTTTATCGCTTGCAAAACTACATTATTTGCTTGACCAACGAAAATACTCTAATTATTGCCTGAACAATTCAGAGAAAATCTTGTGCATGTGTCTTTATATTATATTATATATTATGTTATATAAATATTCAATATTTTAAATCCTCAAGAATTTTTTATCATTAATATTAGGAATTTTTCAATATATGTTATATGCGATTTCTAACATTTTATATAATTAATTTCGTGAATATTACTACAATTTAATGTCCATTACGACAAAATTATTGCAATTTACAATAAAAGCCTTATTCGGCACAAATTTTCTTCGCAAATGTAACAATTTATTATTTTACGATTGTGTGGACAAACATTACGTAGTTATTGTTGGTATTTTCGATTGCGATATAACTTGTATTGAATTCTCAGATAAGAAAAGTCAACAGCATGAAAGATGTGAAAGTTGCATCCATAAGTGATTTGTTTTTAATAATAGCCACACTTTTTTTGATTTACAGAGAATATTGACGGACCAGATCATCCATCGAACTAGAGGGCATATCTATCTAATGATCTATTTTTTGTGACTCACCAGTCATGACATACACATAGTACACATCGTACACATTTTCGAAGATTTGTACCGAGTCACAAAAGAGACTTTCCTAGCTGTCTAAGGCAAAGCTCAGCAATTAAGAATTAATAATACTATTATATGTGAATAATATATTTAATATATTTATAATATATTATAATATAATTAATATATTCTTGCATAATACATTTTTATATTATAATATTATCTATTTATTTAATATATTTAATATATTATAAATGTTTTATATTTTTGTATCAATTATCACATATAAATACATATTTTTCAGAAATTAAGTCATCGATCTCTTATTTATTACGTTGCATATACCTAATACAAGACAACAAATAAGAAAATTAAATTAGAATAATTTTTTCAAGTTTATAAATATATTCATTACAATTTCTATTAGGTCACTGAAGGGAATTGCAAAATAAGAACGCGCTTATATTGTAATATGCTAAGATATAGTGACAATAAAGACAATTAAATTCAAACAATTTTTTCACGTTTATTATATGAATTTAATTATATTTTCTATAAAGTCCCATCAATTGTGGTACAAAAAATGTTTTATATTGTAAGCAGAGTTTCGGCGACGCAGGGTGCACGACCACCCGATACCTCTCTCTTTGAGTTTCTTATTTTATATTATTTTATATATAATCTATATCTCGTAATTTGATTTTACTCTGAAAAAAATGTATTGAATTCGAATAAGTATTTATTTCGCAATACTGCCAAATAAATCATTTATTTGAAACTAATAATATTGATTTGACGCGAAAAATAATTTATTCGTAATAAATTTATTAGGCAGTATTGAAATAAATATTTATTAGTTTAATAATTTTTTTTTCAGTGTACAATATTTGAAGAGTTAGAAAATCTCGTAATTACATCTATATGTCAAACATGTTATGTCAAATTCAGAAGAGCAATATAAAAATCAGATTTCAAAGCACACAAGAATAAAGACACATCTTTGACGGTGAAACTTTTTTCCCATCTATGATTTTTCCCTCGGCAGGGAAGCAAACTGCTTGAATATATATTAGTTTCCCTCTGCGTGAATTCTTTGGCATGTTTGCCGACACACTTCGTGGTCCTGTAAAAACGACTTAATTAAGAAAAGGATAGATCACAAGATGCGAAAACCGATCCATCTTGACCACACTTGATTTACCTCTTTTTTCCTTTTCTTTTTTAGGGATTAAAGAACAGTATTGTATTATGTCGAACAAAATAAAAATAGAAATATTTTCTATCCAATATTTTTTTCTTAAGAAGATGTTAACGGTGCGCATTTTCTGTCTAAAATTGATCTTTTTTTCTCTAATCTATTTTTTTCTCGAATTCGTTTCTTTCTTCTTTTTGCAATCATTTTACAATATACAATACATATATACAGGGTCGATCTACACTTTTGTGGCCCTTCAGCTATATGATCTTAAAGAGGCCCTATGTTTTTTACAAGCATCTCCCTTCTTCCTCTTTGCAGTTGTAAAAAAAACAGGACGCGCGTTGCGAATAATAATATGCAAATGTATTTTTTTATATATTTTTATATCTATTTATACAACTATTCTTGCGAAGGAATTAACGTATCATCTCCATAGTTACAAAATAAACAACTTTCGATATTTTAACTAAAATAGGAAAACTATAATTTCTTTTCGGCTGACCGCAATACTATTGTAATAAATTTTTTTATGATATAAGAATAAAAACCATAATTGATAAAAAATAGAAAAATATTCCATGACAAAATACATTCTGATTACAATAAAAGGATTACAAATGAAATTTCTTGTATAGCTAACACGTAAAACTAGCGTTTATTTTAGATTGTAAAATTCATTTCAATTCTATTTAGTTATTTAATTAACTGCATTATTTAATGTATTGAAAAATTTAGGAATCTTGGAAGAAGACAGAATTTATTTGATCGAAATTTTGCAAATGGAAAGTTAAAAAGGTTGTTTTTTTGTTTTAAATTAAAAAATTTTATATCTTATTGAATTATCAATATTTTATGAAGATTTTGGCTTTCGAAAAGCTACACTGAAAAAATAAGTTATTGAGTTTGAATAAGTATTTATTTTGATATTGCCGAATAAATCATTTATTTGAAACTAATAATATTGATTTGAATTCAAAAATATTTATTTTATATAACAAAATTCTTTTCTCAAAACAAATAAATATTTGTCTCAAATAAATGATTTATTTTACGGCATTGAAACAAATATTTATTAATTTAATAATTTTTTCTTTGTGCAGATAATTAATTAAGCAGTAAGATATATAATTATTAATTTTGTTAAGAAAGAATAATTCTTATTAGTTGAACAATTATTTTAATATATCTAAAGAGAATATTTTCTAAAGAATTTTATTTTTGTTTCGAAGAAGACTTACTTTCTAAAGAATAACAATATATATATATATATATATATATATATATATATATATATAGGGTGTCTCAAAATTAATAGAGAGTAAACCTTTTAATGGCAGATTCCTGGGATCATTTAGATATGATTTTTCCTCAGCGAAAATGTCGAGAGGCCATCATTTCTTGCATGTTCCCAATTTTTGTCATCATGTAATTATAGCTTGTAATTAAGCCTCAAATAAAAATTCTAATAAAGTAAACTCTACATGAAATTGATAAAAGAATGTCAGGGTATCTAAGTAGTCAGGGAAATCTAGAAAACCGGGCATTATCAAGGAATTTTATAAATCTAGAATTGGCAGGGAAAAGAAATTTTTTATTAAATAAATATAAACTATATAATTATAATTTTATTAAATAAATATAAAAAATATAACAAGAATTTCATGATTTAACATTTAATTAATTTATTATAAAGATATATGCAAATTATATATTCGGAAAAATAATACTAAAAAGTCAGGGAAAAAATTAATTTCTGGTCTTGGAAAATCTGAAAAAGTTAGGAAATTTTTTTTATTGAGTCTGCTGGGCATCCTGAATGTGATTTTGTTAATATTTCATTTCCACAAGGTTTAGTTTGCGAAAAATCCCTTACTTTCAATCGCTGAAAGATTATTGCTGCTTCATGTTTGTATTAGATTTTTAAAAAGTCTGTTTTACGTTTAAAACACGTTTGTACAAGTATTTTGTTTGGAGGTTGTGAGACATCCTGTATATATTTAAGAAGGACATATGTTGAAATTTTATCTTCTTATTCCTTGCATAATAAAGGAAGTATTTGGAGTAAATATTAAACATTTAAGAATAATAATTATTTTGAAATAAATACAATCGATAATTCTGATATAAAAATTGGGTATAAAGGACTAGTAAGGCCTAATAAACTAGTAAGAACCCTTTATATCTGAATTTTTGTTATTATTTATATATCAGAATTTTTTGATTTTATTATTTTTATATAATTCCTATTCCTAATATTTAATATTTTCTCTATTGTATGTAGGGCTTTACAGTTGTAAATATTTATTTCAGAATGGCACTAAATATAACAAAAAAAATAGGGAAAAAGACCGTGAAATAGAAATGTAAATGATTATTTTTTTCTATTTAAGAACAAAGCATTTAGGTATAGAAATTTTTTTATATACTGATTATAAAATCATATATTATAAATTTATTGTATTCTTTGTTTTTATTATCGTTATTTTGAAAATACAAACGGATTCAACATTGATGAAATGCCTATTAATGTTAATCAAAGATATACCTTTATAAATTTACTATTCGACATTTAAAAAATATAATGTTTATTTGTAATAACAATTTTGTTTATAACTCAAATCATAAAAAATACAGCATTTAGAAAAATTTATTCAGTTTGAGATAAAAAGATTCGCTGGCATATCTTAACTTCAACTAGTAAAAACTCGATCACTTCAGCCGTTTATTGAGTACCGAATCTATAATATAGATTTTCTCAATTGTTCACGTAAAAATACACGGTGCCTCGTTTTTACATAAGGAGTTGTTTGGTCTCTTGATTTTTGAAAATTTTATTTGCAATGATTTTTCTTTCGTTCGTAATTATACAATTTTTAAAAGTTATATGCTAAACAATTGATCGAGGATGAAATTTTATCAATTTTTAATATAGCTCAAATGTTTGCAGTTGTATTTTATGATTTGTTTTCAATTTTTTTTGTGAATGTACCGTTTAAATTATAAAATGAATCAAGTTTATAAATATTTTGTGCTTTATTCTGAAATAGAACAATGTCATTTATTTATATATTGCGTTTTTATATTTCCTCTTTTTTTTCTCTTAAATTTCTAATATATTAATATTTTTGTCATCAAAATATTGACATATCAGATAAAAATGTATCATGCATAATTAAAATCACAAGGAAATTGTAAAACTGTAAGAAAACTTTGCTGACGAATTCGAATCGATAATACAGGACGTGAAAAAGTTCCGGACCTCTTGAATGACTCAGCATGTAAAAATCAAAGTAATTCGCAAATGAATTCTTCTATTGTCAAGCGCATTTCATTGTCCGAAAGTTCCTATTTGGTATCTGTCACTTTCACAAATCTTTAAGCTAAGCAGAAAAATGTTAAGAACACATGTTCAAGAGACACTCTATGGTTAAAGGATACCCACGAATATTTTCTGTAACTAGGAAAATTTTTTTTATTCTGAGTTTTTTTTTGTTATATATTCGTTTATGGTTAGTTTTTTTTTTAATTTTGACTGGACTTTTTTTTACTTGATCCTCTGCTGCGCGAATTTTAAGAGACATTCTTGCTTGCATTCTTGGTTTAATCGTTAGATTAATTTTCTAAAAAATGCAGTAGCAGGAGTCTGGTTCTTAAAGAGAGAGAGAAGCTTTATTGTCTTCTTAATCTCTCTGGAAATTATTAGTATTCGTTTCACAAAGCATCTAAAACTTTTTTAATTTTATTGTTTGATGTGATTTTGAAGAAAAAGGGATTCGAAAGATCAGATCTCTCAGAATTTTTTCGTAATATTAAAGCAAATATTTTATGCAGCAATTAAATAAATTACGATTGTTTCTGTTCGACTCATTGAGTTCGAATAAGTATTTATTTCGATATTGCCAAATAAATCATTTATT